ACTGGCCTTTCCCAGAGGGGGGGTTGGACTAGTGCTGCGCTTAAAGCAGTTGGGGGCCCAGTGGATAGCAGCCACACTGGGAGGGATGGCTATGGTGAATTTTTGGGTGACTGTAGCCCACCCCATACCCATCCCTCCCAGCCCTGCCCCTGGCTGCTCCACACCCAGCCCCAGCCCCAGCCCAGGCCCACCACTGGGAAGAGCCCAGAATAGTCCCTGGCCACAAGCCCACAGCAGGCAGCCCACCCTCACCCTGTGCACAAATCCAGGGGGGGGGCATATGCCCCCCATGCCTCCCCTGGGGGTGCACACAGTGGCAGGGAGCCCCTCCTCCCCCATCCAAATGAGCCACCCACAGTTCTGTCCTGCTCCCAGGGTTGTGTTAAATGCCCTTAATGGGCATCATCTGCCCCTGCCCCTGCCCCACTCCCTCCCTCACCATGGGGTCCTCAATTTTCTCTCCCCATGTCTCTTCTTCCCCACCAAATTACTGGCCAGACACTGCTCTCCAAGCTGCTGGGCTACATTCCTGGCCATATGCATGGCAGATGTGTGCATGCATGTAGCAGTTATCGGTGATATTATTGGCTACACCAGTCAAAAAAGGCTGATTGCCGATAATGCTGATTTTCCTTTTTTAAGTTCCAATCCAATATGCCGCTGATATATCCATGCACCTCTACAGTCAACCTTTCGCCACATAAAATACTCATTCTCGCAGATGACACAGTCGGATTACAGCACACTTCTTCTGATGCATCCAACACAAACTGATCAGGTTTGCAAATGGTGACGTGTGTTTACCTGGCTGGTTCATAATGAACTGGTGTCCATGCAGAGTGTTTCCTTAGAAGCCATGTGTGCCCTTTCTCACCAGCCAAGCACCTATCCAATAGGGACAACTGGATTTCCAAGGACCCAAGTATAAAATTCACAAACTATCATGGAACATGGACTCAGTGGGGTTACTCATCAGGGGCTTAAGTTTGGGGATTTATCCTCTTGGCCATTTTCCCATGGTCTCTCTCACATCAGTGCTTAAACCAGTTTGGCTTGGGTATGTAGTAATACACATGACATATTTTGTCCCAGATCCAATTATTCATAGGTCAGTGTTTTCCCTGTGTTTCCCTTGAGAGGCCTCTAGTACAGCAATGGTCCATACTGTCACACAGTGAATTGTAGCCTGAACAGCATTAATAGGGCTGTGCGAAATGGCACCGTTTCATTTTGACTTCTGTTTTGATGGGACAGTATTTTGTTTCAAGTTTCATTTCATTTCATTTCTAAAGCACGGTTCCATTTCATTTCACCAAAACTGGTTCACTGTTTCGACGCAAGTTTTGACGTTTTGCCCATAGACTATACTGGGGAGGCACAAAACTGCCTAAAACGGTCATTTATTGGCAGATTTGGATGAAAACAACAGGAAGAGTAGCCACCCCTGAGGGCATGAAGCCTGCCATGTTTCAAGGAGATAGGTGCAGGGGTTTCTGGGAAACTGCACCTCAAAATCTTGAAAGCAAAACTCATGCCACTTGTAAGTGTGAAGGCACAGTGGGGTGAAAATTTCATAGATGGTAGCCCCTTATGAGGCCACAAAGACTTCCAAATTTCAAGGAGATAGGTGCAGTGGTTTCTGGGAAACTGCACCTCAAACTGCTGACAAGCAAATCTCATGTCACATCTGCGTGTTAAGGCACAGCAGTGTGAAAACATCTGAGATGGTAGCCCCTGCTGAGGCCATGAAACCTGACAGGTTTCAAGGAGATAGGTACAGGGGTTTCTGGAAAATTGCACCTCAAACTGCTGACAAGCAAAACTTGTGACATTTGACTGTGCGCGCGCACGCTAATGAGCAGCTGTTTTTCCGTCCCTCCCCCAAAGCACTGAGACTGGAAGGGACCTTAGGGAAGGATCACTCTCACTGGCTAGCTACACATGTCAATATCAGAGCAGTCCTTCCCCCTCTTCCCCCTCCCTCTCCTTACTTTCTGTTTCCCTGCAAGCAAGCCCAGCTTCAAAATTTGAAACGTTTTGAAACTTTCAAAATGTTTCAATTGCCCTCGTTTTGTTTTGAGGCAGTTTCAAAGCTTTTCATTTTGTTTAGGTTTCACTGTTTCAAGCTCGAAATGAGTCGAAACAGTGAAGAAGCGAAACACCTGGTGAAATTACACACAGCCTTATTAATTACATACTGACTCTAGAATCCATCAGTTCCAGGGTTTGCCAAATGGTAACTAGTTTGGTACACTCTCTGGGTCCATGGCACTTCAAACTCCATTGTCTGAACTAAACTGCTCCTAAACCTTGGCCAGTGCTCACTCTCTCTAACCTTCCTTTCAGGTTTTGAATACCATTAATTATTTTCACCCAGGGTTTCAAAGGACTTTTTAGGGCTCAGAGAAACTTACTACTACCCCTAGCCCAAGTCCTGCTCACCCTAGACTGTGGGATTTCCTCCCTTTTCCCATAAATGGTGTTACAGTCATCTGTCTGTATGTCCAGTTGTGTCTGTCACCCACTCCACATGAGCAACCTTTCATTTTATCAGTCTGCCCCTGGTGTTGCCAGAGCCTTAACTAGATATTATGTCACCCAGGGTGAGGGATGGCAAGTGGGCAAGGAGGGTGGTGAGGGCTGTGGCAAGGGGACACTGACGGAAGAGGCAGGGATCAGCCCCTGGTCTGCTTTCCTGGAATGCCCATTGGCCAGTGCCTCTCTCCTCCCTTTGCTGTCCAGCTCCTATATCTGCTCCTACTCTCCATTGCCCACTCCACACCTGACTCTTCACCTCCACTACCTCTCCATTTTCTTTAGCCCCTTCTCCACTGACCCCTGCCTTCTTCTGCAGCATCTTCCTGGAGAAGACAGGCCCTGAGTACACACAGGCTTTGCTCTCCAACATGAGGTAAGAAGTATCTGCTCTTCTGCAAAGAGGGCAAGATCTGCGGGCTGCCTCAGGAAGAGCACAGTGACAGAGCTGCCTGCTTCTGAGCCAGGCCCCAGGTGGTTCGTGCTTCGAGATATGACCTTCAAAACATCACATTTGACCTACTGCTTCCTTATTCAGTCCATGTCCAAAGGAGCTCACAGCCTCAGGGTCAGGCAGTGCCTGAAACACAGGCAGGTAGGCACAGAGAGAAAAAGCAGAGGAGAGGGAATAATATCACCATGGAGACCTTAATTTCAGCCTGGTTGGACTGCTGTTCATGTGAATGAGAAAACAAATTTCATTGCATTCATCCAGGGGATTCCGTCTAGTGGCTGTCTAGGTCTCTCCTTGACAGGTCCAAAGGACTGGGACTGAAACCACATCTCTGTCACCAGGGAGAGCTTCACTGTAGTCCTGAGTGATCTCATAGCACCTTTCCCCCACAGACCTCAAGGCTCTTTGTAAGGAAAAGAAGAACCAGTCTCCTCCTTATAACAACTTTTGCCTTTTGCCCAGATTCAATACCATTCACTTCAATAGAACTGCTAGAACAGTCCCAACACTTGAGCTTGGCAGAAAAGATTTCTACGGCAGTAAAGATCCCAGGTCAGTTGTCAATGTTAAGGCAAATACTACCCAAACCCTTGGATTACGTGGCAGTGAAAAGTGCTGACCTGTGGATACAAGAGTATCTGAGGTGATTCCAGAAGAATTTGTATGAGACTCAGCTGAATGAAGCTGGAGTAAGTCTTACTTTCAGATACCTGTCAGCTGGAAACTGAAGGCATTGGGAAGCTTTTCAGTGTTGTATTGAGTGTTTGTATTGATAGTATGGATGATGACAAAATGAAGAAGACTTTTCATTTACCTCCTCTTCCATACAAGAAAGCTTTTGGTGGGTAGGTATATGCTGATTCAACCTGGCAATTTTTTTCTATTTTTATATTTTGGTAACAGCTGGTTATAATTTTTTTTCAATGAAAATTGTTATTTTCATTGAAAAGGTAAAAGTACACAGCCAAACACTTTATTGAAAAATATGAGTGTCTCTGCTAATTACCACATTGTTAAATAAGTGTTCTTTTTTTCTCTGTTTGGCTTAGATAGATAGATAGATAGATAGATAGATAGATAGATTTGGAAAACCAGCAATATATGTGAAAATATTTATTTCATTATAAACCCAATATTCTGTTAAAACAATTGCTGGGACTCCCAAAAACAAAATGTCTAGGCATATTGTGCAAACGTCTGTTAATGTAAGAAAGGAAGTTGGGAAGATGAGCTTAATGAGCCAGTCTTTACTGAGAACCCAGCCCTTTTCCTTTTGCTTACATTGGCATTTTCAGAGGCATGAAAGGACTTTGGGGCACATTTTTCACAGCACTGAAGTACCTCAAGATACAGACAGGCACCCAGAGAGATTTTCACAATCACCTTGGTTCCAACCTCCACTCATTTCATTACTACTGAGCTGATATTCCATGGACATCATTATAGGATATGGCTATTGCTTACATTTGGCTATTGTACATGAGCCACGGTTGCTAAAGTGCCATCCTCTGAAGTGTGGACTTATCCTTTTTAGTTGTTGTTGAGTGTTTGTTCATCCTGGCATCTATAGGCATTAATATATTGTAGTTCAATGAAAATTAGCAGCGTTTGGGCCGTGAAAATAGTTAGACTACACCCCCTTTTGCAGCCTGTTTAAAATATATTCATGTACAGACTGGGGGCCACATTCCTCCAAGCATAGTAAGGCGTAATAATACTTCATTCCAAAAAGAGACCACTGAACAAGACACTAGAATATTTTGCTAATATTCTCCCAAGGACACTTTTCCCAATTGTTATTATAAGGAGAAGTTATATGAAGAAATAGCTTCGTTGTAGAAAACTCCGAATTTCAATAGACTTGCTGTAGATTTATTAATTCAAGGTTTAAGTAACCCTTGAAGGGCTCTGTCACAATCAGCCCAAAGGGACTTGAAGCATTCTGCAATCTGTCTTGTACTTTGCTACTTCCTTCATCTTTGTTATTTTTTTGCCCTAGAAGAAGTGAGCTATGGAGTCTATGGGGCAGCAGAACCACACAGCACTGACAGAATTCATCCTGCTGGGATTCGGGAGTGGACCTGGGACCCAGGTGCTTCCCTTTGTGGTGTTCCTTGTGATTTACATGGCCACCGTGCTAGGGAACACTATCATGATTCTCATCATTCGAACTGACCCTCATCCTCACACCCCCATGTATTTCTTCCTCATGAACCTGTCCCTTTCAGACCTCTGCTACTCCTCAACCATTGCCCCCAAAGCCATGGCCACCTTCCTACAAGACAGCAAAACCATTTCCTACAATGGATGTGCTGCACAGTTGTTCTTTTTTGGGTTTTTTTGCAACACAGAAGCCTTTATTCTGGCAGCAATGGCGTATGATCGATACATAGCCATCTGTAACCCACTCCTCTACCCTGTCACCATGTCCAAAAGGGTCTGTGTTCAGCTCATTGTGGGCTCCAATATCTGGAGCAGCACCAAATCTATAGTGCAAACCAGCTTCACCTTTGCACTCAGCTACTGTGGGCCTAAAGAGATCAACCATGTTTTCTGTGACATCCCCCCCTTGCTAAACCTGTCCTGCACCAGTGACATTCACACCAATGAAATGGTGCTGGTTATTATATCTGGCCTCATCATAGTGATCACCTCAGGAATCATTCTCATCTCTTACACCTACATCATCTATGCTATTCTCAGAATTCACTCGGCCAAGGGCAGGCTCAGGACTTTATCCACCTGCTCCTCCCACGTGGTGGCTGTGGCTTTATTTTTTGGGACCGTTTCCTTTATGAATGCCCAGCCAGGTTCTCTGTCTTGCCCCCATCAGAGCAAGGTGGTGTCGGTGCTCTATACCCTTGTCATCCCCATGTTGAATCCTTTCACCTGCAGCCTCAGGAACAAAGATGTGAAAGATGCATTGAGGAGGACCATAGGTAGGATAATGATTTCAAAGTAAGCCTCTTCTGTGAATATAGAGCTAAATGACTCTTCATAGTGAACTGAGAAATAATTAATAAGTATTTCCATGCATCGGTACATCTCTCTACATATTTTTCATTCACCACCATCTCTTCCTCTATATTTATATCTACTGACATTTTTAGTCCTCTCCTTATTATATGGTGTGCTGTGATAAAAATGAGTGTTTGAATACAGTACATCACCCCTTATTTTTTCATCTTTTCCTTAAACTGTTAATCCTTTCATTTCATGTCATCCAAAACTCTGCATCCAAACTTCCTTGAGCAGGAAAAACTAGTTGTTATCAAAGCACAAATTTCATAACTGAAATCACCACAAGACCTTGCCGATCTGGATTTTAGAATCCAATTGTATTTCCCCTTCCACGCTTGTGTGTATATATGGCAATTTCCTTTCAGGGTTGACTCTCCAGCTACCCACCCTGATATTTCATAAAACGCTTCCAGGATAGCTGCAACAGGGGTGCAGCCACACTGCTTGGGCTGTTAAACAGTGGCAGTTGGGAGGATTTGAACCATTATCTTCCTTGAAGTTTCTCCATCCACTGGAAGCATTTGGCACTCAGCAATGGCTGACTGTCCTGGTTGGAAAAGAAAGCTTGTGATCAGGAACTGTAACGGCTCATCCACTCCAACAGGGGTGCTGCCCTAATCCTTTGGCTGTGTGGCACATCTTAAGTGAAAACAGCATATTGTTCATGTGTCACACAGCTAAACAGGGCATTGCCATGTCCTCTCACTGTGATCCTGGATGGCAGTGAGCTCTCGGAGCTCACCAGCATATCAGTGGAGCTCTGCATGTGCTGTGAACTTACCAGAGCAGGGACTCCTAGTGTCCCTCCTTTCAAACATCTCCACAGCCTCCTACTGTTTGCTCTTCCCCTCTTGCCTTCTCCCACCACTCCCCCAAAGTTCAGCACAATGACAAAGGAGGCGATGAGCATCAGCAGCTCACAGCCTCTGAGCTGTGTGGAGGTAGGGGCTGAGCATCACTGCCACTGCCCCTCATGCCCTCCTTTCTCCTGCTGCCACATCTGGTGAGGAGAGAAAGGAAGTGCATGAGGCAGCTCACTCCAGAGCTGCTGGAAAGCAGAGACTCTGGGCAGGACATATGTGGGACCCCCAGCAGAAACTGTGCCAATTTGCTGGTGAGCTCTGAGTGCTCAGTGTGTGTGCCAACCACAGCCAAAGGAAGTTATGACCTTTCCACTTCACCCCTAGGAGAGTGAAAGCTTTGTGTGCATTTTTATTATAGCTATAGACATAGAAATCATTCACTGGAAGCTTTTATCATTGGTATAATGCAAAATACCTGACACAAGAAAAGAAAACCATGGATGTAACAAAAGCCACTAGCAGGAAATTAAATCCAAATCAATTCCAATTAAAGATAAAACACTCATGGTTAGAAAGGAGGGGAAATAACCCAATTGATTTTAATGCAAAATAAACTGTCCCTTATGTTAGTAGGTGCTTAGACAATGGTGCCCTACTGCCAGCATCTGTCCCCACACTGAAAGTAGTTAGACAAGGTGTTCCTTACAAGGATGCTCTGATGGCTGTGGTGTTCAGGAGACTGACAACTAGAGGCATGACTGGGATGTAGGAGGTCAGGGCTTCACCGTAGGGAGTCTTAGCCCATGGGATCAGGACTGAGAAATTTGGGAAAGCTGTTGCCCCTTGACCACAATTATGGTGCTGCGAAAAAAGCCATTCCCCACCCCCCCCACCCCCGTTGGTGCCTGGAGAAGTAACCCATTGTCCCACTCTGGTCATGTCACTGCTCTGGTGCCACCATGTCTTCCATCTGTGCTCAAGGCTTACCAGGTTTCAGCAAGCAACCAAGTAAGTTTTTGAGGGCAAAGCAGAGGGCACATCCAATCTTGCCCCAACTGGGCTACGGCAATCACTGCGCAAGCTGCTGCTTTTTCCTTTGCCATTCTAACAAATCATAAAGCCTAGGCTATTCAACACCACATTGCAAACAGAAGGCTACAAAGCAATATCAGCCTTGCAAAATTTAGAATGATAAGGTACAACAACAAATTAAACATGCAAGGGACACAAGCTGACCATCCAAACACAGGCTCCTACCACTGCCATACATCACTGCTTTGCATTTTGGTGACAGATACCTTTGACCTCTTTATTTACTTGCTGTGCAGTTAACTCAGCATGGTTTTCCATATTGACATGGAATGGAATTTACTTACACTTGGTGGTAAACTTATTAAGTAGCTTCGCACTCTCTTGACCAATGCCTAACTTAATTTGCTGCAACTCGTCCAATTGGTTGAAATGGTCATGATTCCTATGACTGAAACCTTGTGTCCCTGTCATTAATTGTGGGTCTTTCAATGGTTACTACTGCACCAGGTATCATGTACTAACTTTAACTCTCTCAATCTCCTTGCTTTTCATCACAGTTACATATTCAACATTTTGCTGACTGAACAACTGAAAAAACACATTCAACCTTTTC